CCCCCCACACACATATACACACATACACACACCACAAATGCATACACACACACCACATCCCCACAATTCCCCCCACATGTACACACACACCCCACAGACATATACACCCACACCTCACCCCCACACACATACACACACTCCCCACATATACACACCCCACACTGCCACATGCCCCCACTGCACACACACACACCCCATACACATACACACCCCACACCCCCACGCATATACACACATCACACACACATATCACACACACATGCCCCCCACATGTACACACACAACACACCCACATGCCCCCCACTGCACACACATACACACAGTGTACACATACACACCCACATCCCCACCCCCCCACATGCATATACCACACACACACCACACACACATACACACACACACTAACCCCCAGATACACCCCCAACCCCTACATACCCCACACCGCCACACACATACACATGCATACACACACCACACACACATCATACACATGCCACACACATGTACGCCCACACCCCCCACATCACACACACATACACCCCAGACACATACCACACACCCTACACACATACCCACATACACACCACACACACAGACCCCACCCCTCACACATACATGTGCACACATACACACACCCATCACATACACATACCACACACATACATCTACCCCACCACACACCCACATACCATGCACCCACACACCACACACACACCCCCCACACCCACACACCACACAACCACACACCATACACAAACCCCCCACACACACCCACACACCACACATACACACATACAGCCCACACACACCACACATACACAACCCGCACACACATACCACATACCACCCACCCCCACCCACCACGTATGCACACATGATAACCTTGGCTCACCTCTCATCTGACTTGCTGTGGGTATTCATTCACTCATCCATTCATCCATTCAATCATTCAGCATACAATGTGAAGCAGCCATTGCTCTAAGTGCTGGGGATACAGTGGCGAACAAACACAAACCTCTCCCCTATAGCTGTTCTACTGCTTTATTTTGTTACAGACACAGACAGAGGGGTGGGAGTAGAGGGGAGAAAGGGAAGAAAATTCTGATTAAAAACATTATCTTCTGAGGCCGGGTGCAGTGACTCATGACTGTAATCCCAGCACTCTGGGAGGCTGAGGCGGGTAGGTCAAGGGTTAGGAGTTCAAGACCAGCCTCACCAACATGGTGAAATCCATTTCTACACATATACACACACATGCCCACACTACACACACACTACACTATTTTAGTCTCTACTAAAAATACAAAAATTAGCCAGGTGTAGTAGCAAGTACCTGTAATCCCAACTACTTGGGAGGTTGAGGCAGGAGAATTGCTTGAAGCTGGAAGGTGGAGGATGCAGTGAGCCGAGATTTTGCCACTACACTCCAGTCTGGGCAACAGAGTGAGACCCTGTCTCAAAAAAAAAGTTCTCTTCTGGGCATGATGGCTCATGCCTGTAATCTCAGCACTTTGGGAGGCTGAGGTGTGTGCACTGCTTGAGTCCAGGAGTTCTCTGCCAGCCTGGGCAACATGGTGAAACCTCGTCTGTACTAAAAATTCAAAAATTAGCTGGGTGTGATGTGCACTTGTAATCCCAACTACAAAGGCGGCTGAGGTGGAAGGATCACTTGAGCATGGGAGGCGGAGATTGCAGTGAGTTGAGATCGCACCACTGCACCCCAGCCTGGGTGACAAAGTGAGACCCTGTCTCAAAAAAAAAAACCTCTTCTGTCTGGGTGTGATGGCTTGTAATCCCAGCACTTTGAGAAGCTAAGGTAGGAGGATCGCTTTAGCCCAGGAGTTTGAGACCAAACTGGGCAACATAGGGAGACCCTGTCTCTACCAAAAAAAAAAAAAAAAAATCAAAAATTAGCTGGGTGTGGTGGTGCATGGCTGTGGTCCCAACTCCTCAGGAGGCTGAGGTGGGAGGATCACTTGAACCCAGGAATTCAAGGCTGCAATGAG